ATCTGATTTCCATTCACAGGAGGAGGAGACCTGGATCTTCCAGAATGTACTTTATGAGGACGAGGGTGTGAGCAGCTTCAGTGAAAACAAACCAAATCAGCCGGTCGACTCTGAGGAAAATCACGGCCACGACAACTGCAGAGAGAATTCAGAGAGTGTTTCCACTCAGCCGGTCAACACTAGAGAAATGGTTAATGTCTGTGACCAGTGTGGGAAGAGCTTCAGCAAATGTAGAAGGTTTGCATTGCACCAGCGCATTCACAGTGGAGAGAGGCCATACAGCTGTAACCAGTGTGGGAAGAGCTTCACTCAGAAAGGGTATCTGACCGGCCATCAGTTTATTCATACGAGAGAAAGACCTTACCCCTGTGACCAGTGTGAGAAGACATTCACCCACAATGCGAGTTTGACAGTCCATCAGCGCACTCACACAGGAGAAAGACCATACAGCTGTGACCAATATGGGAAACATTTCACTAAAAAAAGTCACCTTAACAGTCCATCAACGCATCCACACAGGAGAGAAGCCATACAGCTGTAACCAGTGTGGCAAAAAATTCACCCAGAAAGCCTGAATTAAAGTCATACAGCTGTGATAAGTGTGGGAAAAGTTTTACCAAAAAAAAATTAACTTGAATGTTCACCAGCGCATCCACTCCAGAGTAAAACCATGTAAGTGTGACCAGTGCGGGAAGAGATTCACTCAGAAAGGGAATATGAAGAACCATCAGTAAAGCCACACCATGGAAAAGTCTTTCACCTGTCATCAGTGTGGGAAGTGTTATATTTACAAGCAGTCTCTTACACAACATAAGAAGTCTCATCAACATGAAATATATTCACCTCAGGTCTAAAGTTTTATTTGGTTGACATACAAAGATCTCAGAGAGGTCAACAAAAGATATGTCTGACCTGAGTTAAGGCATTTCAATACAAATTATGTGAAAGCACCTTGTGTGTTTTATTTTACAAGAAATCACACAACACACTCTAATTTATGAGTTAGTAACACTTTAAAGCCATAAATGACACAATAAACAGTGTAATTTATTGTTGCTGCACCTGGTTCACTGTGGTGACGTTAGCTGTGGTATTTCCTAACATAAACAGTTATTATGATGGTGGAAAGACTAATCATTATTCCATAGCACCATTTGATAGTGCTATCGGGTAACCACGTTAGCTTCAGTTGTAGAAATGCTGTATATATTAAACATAAAGATGGGTAATGGTGCACAGTGGTAAGAGTTTTTCCTTCAGTCGTTGGGTGACCAGTTCGATTCCTCTGTTGTTGTGTACTTGGGCAATAGATTTAACCTGCCTTGTCAGCTGGTGTTTATCAAAATGGCTGATTGAGCAAAAAAAAAAAAAAGCTTCTGCTCAACTAAGATCTGCCACAATAACTTTGGTGGTGGATATATTGTCCCAGAAGTTACTGCAATAAACAATAATATTGTTGATTTGAGGCCATTCTGCATAATAATGCAAGAACACATTCTCAAAGGGCAATAAACTTTCAATTCTAATGAATATTTAACACCTGAACTGGAAAACACTTTAAATGTCCAAAATACATAAACAAAACAGAAACAACAAATAAAATTAGTTATGAGGCTTGTAAAGAAAAATGTCCTTATTTAAAGGATAAGGATTAGCTGAGACCAAAGCAGCAGACTGAAAACTTTTATTATCCACTGTTTGGTAGAAAGAGAGAAAAGAGAAAACAATAAATAATGCAAATGGAAATTATTGAGTTTGTTTAAATTTATCATGTGATTAATGGATTCATGACTTGCTGCTCCAGGGCGGCTGTGGCTACGACCCAGTACCTTCATCAGTGTGTGGAAATCATGGAGAGCATCTTTAAATGTCCTAATAAAATGCTATATAAATCGAACATAATTCATTTAAAAGAAATCTGACTTTGCAAGTTGACGCCTTGAAATTAGGCCTCTGTCTCTTTAAGAAGCTCCTGTTCTTTCTGACACTCAGCTCATCACAGCGACGCCTTTCCACTACGCTGGACTGAGTAACAGTTCATTCGATGAGCTCAGCAGACGAGCAGTTCCAGCTGAGTGTTTGCCAATTGCTGCTGCCGCTAGTCTGGAGGAGCTGAGTGTAGGAGAGAGAGGTGGTATAGAGTAAAATCAACATTTATGAGCTTTATATCACGCTATAATGTTATTCGTTCATCAAAAGCATACCTGGAGTTGCTTTCACAACCTCTTCATGAGACAGAGAGTCTTCAGTCAGAGGCTTCTTCAAATTCACTGTAACACAGACTGCCACAGGAGGTCTTTCCTGCCAACAGCCATCACCATCTACAATAACTCTGAAGAATTTGAAGTAATGATTTATTACAACATGCTGCACAGTGGTGCAGGTGGCAGCACTGCTGCCTTGCAGCAGGAAGGTTCTGGGTTCGATTTCTGCATGGAGTGTGCATGTTCTCTCTGGGCATGGTGGGTTCTCTCTGGGTACTCCGGCTTCCTCCCACAGTCCAAAAACATGACTGCCAGGTTAACTGGACTCTCTAGGCGTGAGTGAGTGTGCATGGTTGTGTGTCCTGTCTCACTCCTCCTGACCCATTAGGGACAAGGGGGGATTTATTTCAACATTTAATTCCCTTTGGGAACTTAATTTGAATATGCACAAATTTAACCTCGTCTTTCTATGCAGATATTTACAAAATAATGTATTTTCTTTTCTTGATTCCATAAGTTTATATTTAAAACGTTGAGCAAAGTGGAACTGAGGTTAAATTCCTTGTTTGTGTGTAAAAACTTGAATGAAGCCGATTCTGGTTCCATTTTTGTATCCAAAATACTTTTCAAATTTGAATCTTTTAAACTGTAATTGCCGTTGTTCCCTTGGAAACCAAAAGCAGCAGCCAGACTGATCATACCAACCAGACGTACTGAACATCTGCTGAACGGTGAGTTTGTTTTCTGTAGAGTAGGAAATATCTGGTGGTAGCTTTGTGTTTAAATAATGCTGAAAACATATGAATAATCCTTTATTCCCGAGTAAAACTGAAGTTGACTAAAGATGATTAATCACACTGAAGGGAGCACAGGGCCTGTATTCGATTTCACTTTAGCTTCTATGTTTTTGAATTTAGTTTTTTTTTTTCCTTTTTTCTGTGAAACTGGTCATGAGACAAAATATGTTGACCTTTCAAAACCAAAAACAAAAAACATGTTTATTTATGAATTTTCTGGCAACATGTTGTGATTCTCTCTGATTTTCCTGCTTCACCCAGAGCTGGATCACAAATGGAGGACATTCAGGTGGACGATGGGACTCAGAGCGTCTCAGTGACGTCTTCACCAGAGGTGAGTCCTTTAGATGCTTTATGACCCGAGTGTAAGCTGGTAGTTTAGGTTGGTTTAGAGGAAATGCACATTTCCACAGACAGCGGTAGAGGAGAGCCACAGCCGTTTCCTCTGATGTCCTTTAGGAACTCTTTTCATCCGTCTCTGCATATTGATCTGTTGTTTTCTAAACCTATTTAATTGCTATTTGTTAAATTGTTACATTTTCATCTCTTGCCTCAGTGTGAAGGAAATGTTCAGCTTACTATGCTTTTAGTTGCGTGTAAATAGTTTCTCCTGCTGATTTTATCCTGTCACAAACCCGGCGAGGCGGTCGTCGCCTCTGCATCACGTTTCCTCACAACCTGAACTTTGCTAGAGCCTGAAATCTGGATCAAACCGCTCCTCATGTGACATCACACATCTTTGTAACCGACAGTCGTCCTGGCAGGCTGTTGCTATGGCAACAGTAAACAAGCCACTGGCCTCTAAATGATTATCCTCAATCATTAGAACCAACTGACAGCTGTAACATATTTATGTTGTTCATAGAGGGATTATCACGCTGCGTCAGCAGCCACTCTACTTCGCATGTCAGAGTAAAGGCTACAATAAATTATTCCATCTACAGTCAGATAATAGAATAATTTACAACTCCCCACCAGCGCAGATCACCTCTGTTCACCTGGCGAAACTCCTGCACACAGCATTGCTGCATGGGTAGACACCAGAGGTTTTATTTTCAGCACATCGTCTCTGTACCTCACACTGCCTCCCGTTCAACCGGATGCATTTTAAGTCTTTGAAGGCTGATGCTGCGTTCACACCCACAGCGTTTTGAGCATCAAGCGCAGCGAGATTCAAACCTTTTGGAGCATTTTGAGCGTTTGAAGCATCCAACGGAAAACAACGGCTAGAGCTGACGCGCCTCCACAGGAGCCGTTTGGGCCTGGCCCGGCGCCGTTCGACCCGGTCCTATCGGTCCTATAGCCCTGGTCGTTTTGCATTGAGCGGGATCGTCACGTAAATCGAAGTTTTCACCTCAGCGACCGCAGAACAGTTTCCTTCTTGGGTCTCCATCCCGCTCTTTCTGTATGTACTCATGAGCGTGTAAGCTGAGGGAAACGTTTACCTCAGATTTACATTTCACGGGAAAAAAAATCTCATCTGAATGTCGTCTCTGCTGGACTCGCGGCCTGCTGGACTACCGCTGCGGCAGGCGGGATTTCCCAGCTGGAGCGACAGATGCAGAAATCCCCTCGTTTTCAGCCTAAACGACTTCTGATCGGTTCAATGGGAGAAATGCTATTTACCATTAAGAGGCGAATGTAATCCCAGTGTAAAGTAAGAATGGATTACGACGGGAATTGCTGGGTTTCATATACCCAATGCAGATGGAGGGCCGGAAGCAAATTCAGCCCATTTGCTTCTGTTGATTCAGCATCAAAATGTCTAAAGTCTGAGTCCCTTACGGTTGCTCCAACCATTCAGAGAGAAAGATGAACGTTATTTTTGTGTTTCAATTAAAAAAAAACTTACTGAAAAAAGAGGAGAAATGTGGATCAATAATCTACAGCTAAAAACAGGAGGTGCAGAAACTAACGATGCCGGAGTTTGCAGCACCACTTTCTAACAGGAAACCATCACATCGTTTAAATTGTATTTTCAGATATTTTATTGGACAGTTACTTAGAAAGCCAAGCATTCATATGTAAGGTAAGATATATTATTTTTATGCTGTAGTGTGTCCCCAGAGCGCTAATGTTGTTAGCAGTTAGCTCAGTGCCGAGTCACGGACAGAAAATATGTTTATTCAGTGGGACTTTGATGCTAAAAAAATAAAAAGCTAAATAAATTAAATATAACCTACCCAGCCATACAGTCACAGAGAGCTGTGACTATTCCCCCACATGCTTAACGTACAACTCCAGCATGAATTTGGGTTTACAGAAGCTAAATACATTATTTACCAGGAGATTCAAGCTCATAAAATAACATGAGTTATTGCTATCATTGCTAGCGATAGCATCGTTATCATCCAATTACTTAAAATAGCACAATTCACTCCTCACCAGGCGGAAACAAGTCGACAGCCATTTAATGCTTCTTTTGATCCTAAATGCTTGACTCAACCTGAAGCTTCTCCAGGCTTTTTAAAACTTTCTGCTGGCTCATCATATAATATGAGGTCTGCAGCGGTAGTTTCGCCTCGATGCGTGTAAATCCTCAGTAGAGAAGTCTTTTTTTACCGAGATAATGCAGATCATACCTTAAATATAAGCATATTTTTTCGAGATGCCTCTGCTGTTCCAACCTATTTAGGGCATTAGCTACTCGTTGTGATCAACTTTGCTCTGTTTGAACCAGAACTGGCAGTTGGCAGAACACTGAGAAAGCTGTCGCTATGGCGCCCTCTACTGCGCATGCGGGACACTTTCTGGTCGTTTGCTCGTTCACAGTGCAGAACGCATACAGGTCGCATTTACTGGCAGTGTGAACGGCCCCGGCAAAAAAATCGGAATTGAGTCACTTCAGGCTGCAGTGTGAACGCAGCCCTAGAGGGACTCAGCACATCTTACTGAGAGCTGATGATTTAACTAATTGCTTTAATATTGTTTGTAAGTAATGTTCAATGTTTGGGCCATTTTCTCATGTTTTATCGACTGACCTGCATTTAGTGCTTATGGATTATTAAGATGCATAAATACCCACACATGATCCCGGTATGGTGGGATTATTTGTTTGTAAACACAGCAGACAGCCTGACTGCAGAAAGAGCCGGCGGCCATTAGAAGATACACAGGGTAGCTGAGAATGAGTCTAATACGAAAGAAACACTAAGGCTAAAGAAAACCTGATGAACTAGAAGAGAGCGAGACAGGAGGGAAAACATAAACGAGCCAAAACAGAAACAAGACTGATATAACAAAAATAAGAACTAAAGAACAAAGAGCTAGAGTAACTAGAAGGACTAAACAAAGAAATAACCGAACTGGAGTCATTAAGGACAGATGGACATAGATACAGACATAAAAGAACTAAACCTAAAGTAACCAGATAAGAAAAGCTAGAAACACCACAGGGGGAAGAAATAACCTAACTGGGATTATTAAAGGAAGATGGGCATGGATGGGCTGCTGTAAACGAATATTTTAGTAATTAAAATTATTCTTACAATTAATCAAGTAATCGTGAAAAAAAGATAAAATAAAACATTGGTAAATCTAACATAACAGCAGTATTACTATCATATATGAACATCAGTCCAATTATTCACAGTTGAGCTTCCCTAACAGTTACTTTTCTGTAGTTTAGAAAATTAACCTGTAACAATAACAGCTCACTTTCAAGTGTCTATGATCCAGCTTTCAGATCATGTATTCATCTTCAGTGAGTTTAATAGATGAACTCTCACCTTCCCAGACATTTATGTTGGTTGTGTTCATGTTAGCAACGGGATTTGACACGGTCTGCATTCGTCACACACAGGAACATCTACCAGGTATGGAACGTCACGATGCGCTTCGCCTCCCACTTGTTGCGACCAGGAAGAAATTACATTTATTTT